GATAAAAGGTACCGAAACAGGTGAATAATTTAAAAGGAACGAACTCACAAAATATACGATGGTTTGGCCATGCAGCAAAAACTTGAAAGACCGTTGTATCTTCTAATCAGTGATGGGAAAAATCCAAAAAAATCCAAAATCAGGAACGGACGAAAATCACTGATGATCTTGAGATCAGCTAAATCACAAACAGAAAATCACGGCTGATTTTATATTAGCTGATCTTGAGAGTAGTAAAATCACAAAGCAGATAATCAAGCCTGATCACCAAACGGAAAATCAATACCTTAGTATTACAGTCAAAGTAACAAACCGACATCTTCCGCCATTAAATCCAAGATGGCGGACCAAATTCCAATATGGCGGCCTCCGGACAACGAATATGCATCTAAACCCATGCAATATTGCCAAGCTGGAGATACTTGGCATCTCGTCAACTGCTGTGGATTGGTTCAGATCTTACTTGGTGAATCGCTATGTACATGTCAAGATTGGCGCGTCGGAATCGGATGTTTTCTCAAACAACTCGGGAGTCCCGCAAGGCAGTAACCTAGGGCCGCTACTATTTTCGATCTTTTTAAACGATGTCGCCTTGCTGATATCATCAGGATGCCGCGTTTTCTATGCAGACGATACGAAAATCTACAAAATTATTAAAAGCCTCTCGGACTGCTGGGATCTCCAGAATATGTTAGGTATTTTTGCTGACTGGTGCTCAAGAAATTTGATGAGTCTAAGCATAGAAAAATGTAACATTATTTCCTATCACCGAAAAATCGAACCAATCATGTTTGACTATGTTCTCTACGGACACTGTCTTGCTCGTGTAGAGCACATAAAGGATCTCGGCGTTACCTTGGACTGCAGACTCACTTTCAGAATCCACTACAATGACATCATCTCCAGAGCTAATCGACAATTGGGCTTTATTTTCAAAATTGCCGACGAGTTTCGTGACCCGCTATGTCTCAGGTCACTTTACTGCTCGCTTGTGCGATCCTTATTGGAGTCAAGTTCAGTTGTTTGGTGCCCTTTCCATGCTAGCTGGATCACTAGAATTGAATCCGTTCAACGAAAGTTTGTGAGATATGCTCTTCGTTTCCTCAACTGGCGTGACCCAACGAACTTGCCACCGTACGAGGAGCGTTGCCGTCTCCTGGGAATCGAGCCATTAGAGGTGAGACGGACGGTCGCTCAAGCTATGTTCGCTGGAAAGCTGCTTACAGGTGACATTGACTGCCCAACACTGCTGTCACAGCTGAAAGGTCTCTTCGTCAACGCGACTTTCTGTTTTTGGAACCACGGAGCCGGAATTATACACAACACGAGCCAATTCGAGCAATCAGCCGGCAATTCAACAACTTTTTTTATATGTTCGACTTCAATGTATCAGCTGACGTGTTTCGTCATCGGCTACTTGGCCTTTTCCGTACCGTTGACCGTAACTATTTAGTTTAAGGTTCAATTTACTTTGATACATTTTTTAAAATTCAAAAGCAGTTTTTTTCTACGCATTATTTTAAATTGCAAAAAAGCTCGCGTCATTTTGGGTAAAATATCAAAAGGAATCGAATAGTGCGAGCTTTTTGCAATCTGAAATAATGCGTCGGAAAAAACTGCTTTTGAAATTTTCCAAAAAGCATCAAAGTAAATTGAACCTTAAGTTTTATTCATTTAGACAGTAATTGTCAGTTGAATTTTTCAATAAACAATAAACAATAAACAACTCAAAGGAAGCCTGCCAAATCTGCAAGGGAACTTGCAAGTCGGCCGATAAATGCAAACGTTTTCTGGAGCTGTCCAGGGAATCACTTTGGGCCGCTATAAGGGAATTTGGATTCTGCCGCACATGTCTGCGCATCCATAAAGGATACTGCAAAGGAAAACCGTGTGGTAAAGATGGATGCACCTACCGGCACCACGAGCTGCTGCACAACAATTCGAAGGAAAATCCGAAAAACACCTTGTCCGAATTCTTTCATCCTCAGCTTGGTTGTTGATTAGTGATTCTTGGTCGGAGGTCATGGATCCTAACCTCAATAGTAGCGTCCTCCATGGATATTATTATTATTTAGCTTTATTTAGGAGGCTTTCAGCCTTAGGCTGGTTCGCCTCCACGTCCTCTATGGATAGTGGAATGGTATAGAGCTTTCCGTCGTGCTTCATGTTGTGGTTTTCGACCATGTTCAGTTTTTGGACGATGAAGATAGAGATTTCGGGATATTTGAGCTTGCTCGGTACAGTTTTAACGCTGATAACGAAGGTTCGGTCGACCGTAGAGGCCATTTCGCGGCGCGTGCTGGTTTCGTTGATGGAATCGATATTGTATATGATAGGAAAACGGACTGAGTCCGTGAAATTTTTGGAAAAAAAAACGAATATAGGGTTACGGTATGTAATGTGGGTCTAGTCCTTTCATTCGGCCTATCACGCAAATAAATAATTAATTAAGGAATATTACACAAAAAATAAGGAAAATATTGATCACTGATGGTTGATAAATGTGTACCACACACAAATCAATTTATATCACAACATTTCAATACATTTTCAGCTCTCGTAAGTAATAAAACTGGTTGAGAATATCACAATGTTCGGAGTTTTTAGCCGCCATGACTTATAAGGTTAAGATGGGAAGGTTGACTGACGATCATCAAATGGCCTGATTATGGCATTTATTGATTGGAATTACCTGATAATACACACTAGACGTAAAACTTACAGTTGCTGTTTGAATATTTTATGTTTATTTTAATTGTTTAACAACGTTTTCACAAGTAAATCATGGACCCAACTTTAGGGACACATTTCTTTTCTATGTTCCTAACTTTGGCCCATGAAATTCATTTGACAGCATATAGCAATAAGAGTAACGTCAACAATGTGGTTTGCATTTGGATGATAAGGAACGAACAGGAAGGGAGATTTTTTCTGCCAAACCTGTATAATGAACATCACAATGTTCTGATTTAGATATTCTGCGGTCAAAAGACGATAAGCGAAATTTTTAATTTTTAATTTTTAAATTGAGTGATTTAATGTAGTTTTCGTAAAATTTTCTCTAAGAAATGTTTTGAGGAATGAAGAGCATTAAGTTAACAGTGATAGTGATAAAAAAAAATACATCAGAAAACGTTACCAAGAGCGTTTTTTTGAGGATCAAACAAGATAGGACGAAGTTGCATCCATAAATAGACCCAATTTGGGGACAATAGACCCATATTACATACATTTCCCTCGTGAGTTATTGTCTTAAAAAAAGTAAGTTTTTCAACTTTTCGTGGTTTCTGATAGCAAACGACATGATAAGCATATCTAAGCATACCATTTAGCAGTAGAATATCGTTTGCAGGTAAATTCATTGATGAGTTATGATTAAAAACGTAATCGATGGCTGCATATTAGACCGAGGTTAGGGACGTATACCCTATCTGGTGTTTTGTAAACGCGTGCATCTAAAACAAAAGCTGTCACAAGACGGTTGTTTACCTTTGCTGACAGTGACGTCAACTTACTATTGTTCCATCATGTCAAAATCTTATTATCACACGTTATTTCAAAACTGCCCAAATTTGGTTAGAATCCACCCAGATCGGTCAAAACTGAACCTACCCAAAAATGGGTAAACATGCATTTACCCAAATCTTGGTAAACGTACCTGCGACAGAAACTGGGTAACGGTTACTCAGATGTTGACATTTGATAACAGGGTAAACTTTACTCATTTTAATAGAAATTAGTTGATATGACCGCTGCAGTAGCTCTATCAAACATAACCTCATCCGGCTAGCTCCTCTAGCCCGTTATTAATTGTTGAGATCGTATTGTCATAAAAATATATAACTATGGAATACGACATTGAAATACCCAGAAAACTATACCGTTACAAATGCTAACCATTTATTGAGATTTGATTTTAAATGAGTTCTATAAATTAGGAACAACAACAAACATTTGGCATCCAGAAAAGTGTCACAGAATATCTCGATAACCTAGAATTAGGAGAATGTTTAAAGTCCAGAAACTAACAATATACTTACTAACTATAGCTGCAGGCAGCATTTGCCATGAAAACAGTTCCATGTATGTAAATTGTTTAGCATCAGATTAATATATTTTGAGAATTCAAAATTTCACTGGCAGCGCAACAATCTCCCTTTTATACCTGCGGCATTTTTTACTCTGGGAAAATTTCGATTAGAACTATTTACCCAGAATCTGGGTAGATTCTACTCGTCATAACAAAACTAGCTTACCCAGATTTTGACAACTCCTTACTGGATACAAGAATGGGTGCCATCCACCCAGCCACTGGGTAGATTCAGAATAGCGTGCACTTTGTTTATGGAATATCACTAGTGTCCGGACATAGAGGCCGTCCGGACATAGAGGACTTCCCTGTACGCAAGGGTATGTATGTAACAACATATTTCCAAACTAAGCATAATAAACATAATTCAAAACCCACACACCTATATGATGAAACGCTACACCACGGTCGGGATCCATCAGTTTATCACGATGAAATTTCCCAGGTTACCTTTAAAGCAATACACTGGAGTCGCTTTTTACGCGGTTTTTTTTTACACGGTTTTTTTTTACGCGGTTTTTTTTTACGCGGATTTCGGAATTTACGCGGTTTTTTTTTACGCGGATTCCGGAATTTACGCGGTTTTTTTTTACGCGGATTTTGGTTTTTTTTTACGCGGATTTCAGAATTTACGCGGTATATCGCTTTTTACGCGTTTTTTTCTTACACGGTCTTTTTTTACTCGGTTTTTTTTACGCGGATTTCGGAATTTACGCGGTTTTTTTTTACGCGGATTCCGGAATTTACGCGGTTTTTTTTTACGCGGTTTTTTTTTACGCGGGACATATCACCCGCGTAAAAAGCGACTCCAGTGTATTCTCCTCTGGCAGTCTTTTGTCATCGGCTTGACCCGTGGAAGTGTGAGATATTAACTTGTTAAGACTAGTATAGCGCTTCTGTCAACTGATCGTCTCATCAGCAATTTAATGTTCCAAAACACTCAAAATAACTTGACCTTACCTTGCGAACTTGAGACCTAACGTAGTAATTTTCAATCAACTTTCTTTTTTCTTCTCTTTTCTTTCTTCTGCTTTGCCTTATGCTGAATTCGAATGGTTAAAACTAATCTGGTTATTATGACTCTTCTTATTTTCCATATTTACCTGCATTTTATATACACTGCTATCAGTTGCAACGATAGACTAACAATCATACGTACCTACCGTATGTTTCCTTAGCTCTCAACTTTGAACATGGACCTAAAAAGAAATTCAATTTTCTAACATGTTCATCCGACAACATAAGTAAAACACTACTTGCATCCCGCGGCGATTCACTTCGTTGACAAAAAGTACCGTTCCTTAATCATCTGATGATAGACCAACCGTTCGCACTTGGAGTTGGTGAAAAATTCCACTTCGAGCGCAGGATTTTGCGCAACTACTCTGGCGTAGAGGCGTTTGCCTTCGATCAGCTCTACCAGCTTCATCGTGACGTCCGACTTCCGCAACCGGGGATTTATTTGCAGTGCGTGGAGTTTGATCTGCACATTCCGCAGAGGCACTTTTCGCATGCTTGATGGACACTTTTGGATATCCCGTACACTAACGGTTTCCTCATTTAGATAGTCAACATAGAGTACTCGAGCTTCCTCACTATCGGGGAAGTGTTTGACAACCAGAGCACGGTACCAGTAGCCGTCTTGCTTGAACTTGGCCAAACATGGCATTTTTATGTTGATACCAGGACACGGGCCATGTTTCTTGGCGTAGAATTGAATCTGTACCATCGTATCCTTCATCAGCCGGATATGTTCATCCAGCTGTGGGAAAACGAACATATTGAACGGACCGAGCAAGTTCGTGACTTCGCAATAGAATCCATGAATGGATTTATCCAATGTAAAGTCAAGGTACCCATTGAATGTAAGTCGGGCTGTTTCCAAAGGTTGATCGACCTGTGTGGATGTATCGAATTCATTCGAATTGAACGAAATATTAACCGAAACATCTGTCGCGACTTTGTTTTCCCCTCTCAGCTTGACATCGCCGTAGCTATAGAAGTAGTGCATCTGGTTCAAATCTATTTCGGAACCATCAACGGAATTTTCTTCTTCGTCTTCTTTGCGCTCAGCGGTAGCACTTATGGCCTCCAATAGGTCGGTCAGCTCTTTTTCGTTGAAATAGGATTCCATATCGCTGTCGCATGGGACCTGGAAGACACCAGGTGAGATCACTATAATCGCCAACTAATAAACTAATAATCGGTACTTACAACTTTACTTTTGTCTTCGCTTTTCGGTGCACTATCGTTGAAGCTTTCGAACAGATTCGCAAATGGATCATACAGCAGCTGGTCGAACATGTTCAGCAAGTAGTCTGAAACTTCTACCGGAAATTCTCCCGTCGTTTTGATGTAGCAAGGGACCACCCCCGCAGTATCTGTGGCCATATCGGTGTCTACGCGAACCTGACACTGCTTATCCACGATCAACGCGTGCAGTGCGTCCATCGCTACGAAAGGCCAAATACCGCCGGCTTGCTTCGGGACAACACCCGTTAGACGATACTTGTTGACCAGAGTCGGAATGCGTCCGCAAATGACGTTCTTGCGAAGGTCTCTAACGTGACAGACTTCAACGGTGCCGTAGTCCACGAGTTGGACTTCGTAGCGGCATTGGCTTAAGGCCTTCCGTACAACTGCTCGGTAAAAGTGCTCATCCAGGTGGTACTTGGCCAGGCACGGTTCACCAGTGGAATAGAATTGGTCACCCGGTAGCTGCTGGCTTCCGTTCGATTTGGCCTTGATGACCGCCTGGATGGCAGTGAGTGTGCTCTCCAGTCCTGCGTCATGCAGGTAGATCACACCGCTGATGTCTACGTAGGTCGGGATACCGACGAAGAATACCTTATCGATTGGCTTTGCCGGCAACCAATGATCAATCGGCGTCAACTCGTCCGTTATGTCGTTCTGTGGGATAGAATAGGAGTAGGGGTAAGAGGGGTATAGCGAAAAGGTGGGGCATAATGAGCATCCCGCATCACTAATTAATTTGTCTCGAACGATAAGGAATCCAACGCTAAAGCACAGGAAGCTCATTATGCTCCTCTTTCCCCCCGTAGTAAAATAACATTTATGTATGTTGTGACATTGTGATTTTACATTGATTCAACATTTCAATTGATTACCCTATCCGGCTCTTCATCTTTGTTTAATTTGTTATTCTAATTTGCGCTTAGAAATTATTACCGACTGTTGCTACGCTAACTAGTAACGCTGGTCATCTAACCGATAGCACCGGTGAACCTTGACAGTGGCGGCCGATGACAGGAGTGACGAAAGACAGGTAAAAGGAGGTTAAGGGAAAAGCTCGTGTGAACGGCGAACTGAAGTGGATTCACTGCTGGACAGGTGTCTCATATACAAAAACGTTAATTTAATTGGAAAAATACCTCTAAAATTTGTTAAAATTAATTATTCAACAAGTGAATTCCTAATCAAGGTTGCAAAGACTCATTTCAGCTAAAACAATGTTTTTCTAAATTATGAAATAATTAGATGCCATGATCAAATTTTGAATTGGTAGGATACAAGAAGAGGTTGCAAAGAATGTGTTTGACATATTAAACCTGTTTATTTCACTTCATGAGAGTCACAATCAGCGATTTTTCACAAACTCACTCACTCACTCACTCACTCACTCAGCGATCAGCAAATCGCTGATTGTGACTCATAGAAAGCAAAATTTACAGGTTTTATGTTTCCAACGCATACTTTGTAACCTCTTCTTGTAAGTTACAAGTAAAACATGCCATCATACCATCTTTTGGTTTTATTATTCCGAAAAACATTATTTTAGCTGAAATGAGTCTTTGCAACCTTGTTCCTAATACTAGTTATTATTTACATACAGAACTACCTAATCTCTAAACGTAAGCTATAAATTGATTATTCTATTTCTATGCTGAACTTAACCTAAAATTGATCCAAACAGGCAATTATTGAATCATGGTGATTGTACGGATTCTCGTAGCGTTCGAACTTAATTAGTTGCTAAATCTTAAACTATACCCTACTAGTGGAAATCAAATTGGAAATAATCTAAAACTACGAAGCCTACACTAAATTGTAAGCTGATCTACCTTAATTAGTTAAAACGTGCACACACTAAACAAGAAATAAATATTCCAGCTTGAGCTGATTTGGAACCAATAGTTCCCACCGCTAAAAGAAAGTGTAGTTCAATTTGTTCGGGGAACAAACCTCAAGAATTTACGGAGATCGCCAATAACAACAACACTGCCTCGAACAACTATGCTAGTGCCTGCTTGGCATGTGATCAACCAGACTGGGTTGACGACATGGTCCAATGCGAAGAATGCGAAGGTTGGTACCATTTTAGATGCGTCGGTGTAACACGGGTGTCGAACTCCGCCACTGGGCGTGTAGCGATTGTTTACCAATCAGTGTCAGCAGCCAATCATCCCGAACAACCATCAATAAGTCGCTGGCACAGTAACGACTGGAAGAGGAACAGCAAATTCACCGTAATCGATTCCTGAAAGAAATGGATCTTGAGAAGGAGCTGATTGACCGAGAGAAAAGGCGGATAGTGGAAGAAGAAGAGATGGAGATGACCTTCCTTCTTGAGAAGTACGCTTTGTTGGCGGAACAAGACGCAGACGATGAAAAGAGCGTTGCAAGTCATAAGAGTCGCTGTCGTGTTAGCCGGAAGAAAATTATCGACTGGATGAGGAATGACGGATCAAAGGAGCCTAAAGCCAGTACACCAAATGAAACCGGGATGGCACCAAATCCGGAAATCACTCTCCAGGGTGAACACTCTCGCAGCAGAAATTTAGTTTCGTCACGTTCAGCAGTCAACCAATCTATGACACTTCAACAGCATATTGCTTCGAGTAGCCGTATGTATTCTCGAAATCCTGCATCCGCTCCAGTAAATCAGAAACTCGTACCGTACAAACCATCACGTGTAAGGTTAACTACCCCAGCAGTGCCATCAGTTCCACCTAGCAACGCTACGAATGAGGACGCCAGTATCATTATTCCGCCAATGTCTTTCGAGTACGTTCCTTCTGAGGTGGAAGCTGACCTTCCCCCTCGTATTAATCACGGTGTTGACAGAGTTAGACGTGCACAGCCATCAGTACGAAATTTACAGCCTCTGGATATTATTGGCCAAAGTACGTCTGCGTCGCAAATACCGCCACGGGCGAACGTAAGATATGCAAATCTCCGAGCTGGTCCAACACCGTATACGGAAGATGAAACTTTAGCACAGGGACAGGGACCCTCTTAAGTGCAAATTGCAGCTCGTCGGGTGATGTCACGGGATCTCCCAGATTTTGATGGGAAACCTGAAGACTGGCCCATATTTATTCGCCAGTACAACATCACCACGGAATGTTGTGGGTTCAGCGATGCCGAAAACCTTGTTCGGCTGCAACGATGCCTGAAGGGCCATGCTCGAGAATCGGTTCGCAACCGATTACTTCTTCCCGCGTCCGTCCCTCAAGTAATAACTACACTCAAGATGCTCTACGGCCGACCCGGGTTACTTATAAATGCTCTGTTGAACAGAATGCGTTCTGCACCGGCGCCGAAGATGGAACGCCTTGAGACGCTGATTGAGTTCGGGATGGAACTGCAGGGGCTCTGCGATCACCTAGTAGCTGCGGGAGAAATAGCTCATTTAAACAATCCCTCGTTGTTACAGGAGCTAGAAGACAAGCTACCTTCACAGCTGAAGCTTCAATGGGCGATCCATAAACAAACCGTGACTGGTGTGACGCTGCAGACCTTTGCTACGTACATGTCACAAATGGTTACTGCGGCGAGCCAAGTGACCAAATTAGTTCATTGCTCTAGTGACCGTCGGACAAGCGATCACAAAAAGGGAACGCAAAAGGAGAAAGCGCGGGTGTACACGCACAGTTCGAACAGTGTAGAAAGTACATCCTGTGGCCACTCGAATCAAGATTCTACAGGTCGGAATTGCGCAGTTTGTAGTCAACCGGATCATCGTGTCAAGGAGTGCAAGAAATTTTTAGAACTCGACGTAGAAAATCGTTGGTGAAGAATACACAACTTGAAGCTTTGCCGGACTTGTCTCAACCAGCACGGAAGGAATCGTTGTCGATTGTCTGCGAAGTGCGGGATTGATGGGTGTGAGTTCAAGCACCATCCGCTGTTACACTCCCAAACGGAAAACAAGGTCAAGCCAGTTACTGCCGAAAACCATTCGCATCGAGACCAAGAATCGAAAACTTTGTTCCGAGTTGTTGCCGTAACTCTGACGGGGAGAAGTGGAAGTGTTAGCACATTCGCTTTCTTGGACGATGGTTCTTCACTAACGTTGGTGGAAAAATCGGTAGCTGAGCGATTGGGAGAGTCCGGACCAGAGCCTTGTACCTAAATTGGACCAGCAATGTAACCCGGTGTGAAGCGGATTCTCAAGAAATATCATTCCACATTTCAGGAGTATCCAGTGGGAAATCATTCCAAGTCAAGTCAGCTAGAACGGTATCTGAGCTGAACCTTCCAATTCAGTCGCTGAAGCCCGAACAACTTTCGCTGCAATACACTCACCTCAAAGGATTACCGATAGCTCGATACGAAGACGCCGTGCCTCGCGTGCTTATTGGGTTGGACCAGTTGAACTTGTCAATGCCGCTGAAATGCCGAGAAGGGCACAAAGACGAACCAGTAGCCACAAAAACGCGACTCGGGTGGTGTGTATACGGCGGAGGTAATAATGCGAAGTCCGTAGGGGTCAGTTGCCATATCTCGGAAGTTCAGCCAGAAAAGGATCTTCACGAGGTAGTCAAGCGGTATTTCGAGCAGGAAGATACAGGAACCATGCCGATGATGAAACTGGAATCAGCGGAGGACACGAGAGCAAGGAAGATTCTAGCCAATACCACTGTTCGGTTGGACGGTAGATTTGAAACCGGACTCCTCTGGAGATACGATCATTTCGAGTTTCCAGATAGTTACCACATGGCTCTTCGGCGATTGGAGTGTTTGGTACGTAGGATGTTTCGTGAGCCCGAACTGAAGACAAATGTCCTTCGACAGATTGAAGACTACCAGATGAAATGTTACGCGCATCGCGCTTCTGAGGAGGAGCTGAAAAATGCCGACCCACGCAGAACATGGTATTTACCACTCGGCGTTGTGACCAACCCCAAAAAACCTGATAAGGTCCGGTTGATTTGGGATGCTGCGGCCAAAGTGGACGGCATATCTCTCAACATGGTTCTTCTTAAAGGACCGGATCTGCTGTCTTGTCTGCCAGGGGTTCTATGCCGTTTTCGAGAGAAGCCTGTGGGGGTAAGCGGTGACATACGCGAAATGTTTCACCAGTTTCGTATACGACTTGCAGATCGTTCTGCCCAAAGCTTTCTGATGCGAACAGACCCATGTAAAAAACCAGATGTGTACTTCATGGACGTAGCCACCTTTGGCTCCAGTTGCTCGCCGTGTAGTGCCCAGTTCATCAAGAACCGTAACGCAGACGAATTTGCTGTCGACTATCCCAGGGCAGCCGAGGCGATAATCAAGTGTCATTACGTGGACGACTACTTGGACAGCTTCGACACCATCGAAGAAGCTCAACGAGATTCTCGTAGCGTTCGAACTTAATTAGTTGCTAAATCTTAAACTATACCCTACTAGCAGAAATCAAATTGGATATAATCTAAAACTACGAAGCCTACACTAAATTGTAAGTTAATCTACCTTAATTAGTTAAAACGTGCACACACTAAATAAATATTCCAGCTTGAGCTGATTTGGAACCAATAGTTTCCACCGCTAAAAGAAAGTGTAGTTCAATTTGTTCGGGGAACACCGACTTCGATAATGTTTACCGAACTTTCAACAACTGAACTGTTCGGTAAAAATCAAGCATTTCAATTAATTAGTTTTAAAGCTTCAAAACAAGGAAAACTTCAACACAATGGTAAGACTCGATTATTTAAACAAGGCATTGCATCACTCGTCACCCAATTGCTGTTCCGAACTCAATAAAGTTGAGAACTAAGCCTTCCTAGTAGATAGGTAATCATCTTCGAACCCGCCGATTTAAGAAGGTAAATTGCAAGTTTCCGCAATGAGCTACCTACCTGATAATCATCAATCAATCCACAGTTGCTCGGTTCGTTGGTCGGATACTCCGCTTCCGCATCTAGGTTGTCCAAGAAGTTATCCAACGCTTGGTAGTGTCGTTCCAGTTCTTCCTCCACCGACAGAGCTGCCGCTAGGGGTGGAAACTTTTCCCTGAGGTGTGCATAGCCATACTGGACCAACTTGTTGTTGACGTTTGTGTAGGCGTAGAGCTGCGACGAGAGAGCGTTGGTTCTTTCCACCGTCATTCCCCACAGGATCACCGGGATGGAATAGTTCACACATCGACCATGGATGGAAATCGCGAAAAACTTGAACTTCTCGATGGCAACCTTGAACGCGTCCACAACGGAGGGGCTCCAGGTAACCAGTCGTCCCGTGGGACCGATACAAGCCAGAGAACAACGGATAGCAAACGGATAAAACTGAAAGGGGTTTCATATGAGTCATGATACGAATGAATCTAGATATGCGGTAGCTTCTTACCTCTTTCAGAATCACCGGAACAATGGGCCGCATTTTGGAATAATGGGAAACTATGGTGAGTGCCTTATCAATCAGGAACACTTTGTAGTTACTGTCAGCAACCGCTTCTAGCACCCGGGCCCTGTACCACTCGCAGTCTAATGTGTCGCTTTCTCTTCTAGTGGCCGTCGGCGGGTAGACCATACACATTTCTCCCAGCTGCCAGCTGATCATATCGTCTCCTTCGTCCGTTTTAGCGCGCATATTATCTTGGATATACTCTTGCATCCGAGCTATTCCACTATCGTTCGTTATCAGACTCACGTAGAACTCGTTCGGGGAGACAACTCGTAAGATTTCCACCTGTGCCCGTCGCGGCACGCGTTTTTCCACTGTGGATTTAGTGCTGTTGTTTCCCTGCGTATCTGGTTCCTCTTCTTCCACATGCTTTTCCTTGACAAGTTCCACAATGGTACTTTCCACGCCGATGCCCACAGCGAACTTGTTCTTCACCATCAGCCCATTCACACAGATATCGTACCGACGCTTCACCAAGTAGAGAGCAACGCCATAGCAGTTCGCTTCCTGCTCACCAACGATCACTTGGAATACGAACGAAGTCCGGGCGATTTGGTTGAAAAACGCAATGGCTTCCTCCGTCCAGTGGTAGAAGTTCTGCATGAACGGCTGGATATGCATGAGACAACAGCGAACGGAAAACTCTGATGACGAGCAAAATGGCTGCGGGATTTCACGAATGTCTTGCCAACATACGGTCAAGCGATGACCGGTATCCACCGAATCCACCTTGCAGTTCCCTTTACCCACTTTGAATACACGACCTCGCTTCCAAACCAAAAGGTCGTCGCGATCCTTTTCCGCAAAAGCGCACACCATTCCCACGTGGGGCGAATAAGCAATCCTTGCATCAGCCTTGTTGCAGTAATCATTCAATTCGAGCTTCATCTTTTCGTATGCTTCCAACCAACTGCTCTTACAGATATAGAACTCATTGGGCGACACCGATGAGATGATTTTCGTTTTGAACACATCGTCCTTCTGCAAGTACTTCGCCGGAATATATCGCCTGTAATCCAGAATCCATCGTTTTTTAACCCTCTCCAGATGGTCGATCCGATGGGAGGCATCTTCATTACGTTTTGGCGGGTTTGGATCCGGTTTAGCCAAGTTCATATAGAAGAGAGCCTCACGTAGCGACTTTGGACCATCGATGGTCTGCGCAATGAGATCAACATCTGTGTCGGGTTGAATCACATACATCATCGTTTGTTTGCTGGAAATTGGGGAAGGAAATTTTGTCATAATCTAGTAAAACCAAATCAAAATCTTATCCGCACTTACTTCCCAACGAAATCGTTAATAATTTTGTGGATTTCTGGGGTCCAGTCCTTACTTCCATCAGCTGGGATAACATCGTATAACGAACACTTGTAGGCACCATCTTCAACACGTTGCATGTCCTCTGGCAGCACCCGAAGTCGCGACTGAAGAACTTTGTCCGTGTGACCATAGTCGACGAACTGGACTTGATATTTCTTGGTGCGAATGGATCGACCGAGCACCCTGCATCGGTACCATCGCTGCTCGGATTGGGATTGAGCCAGATATAGAGATCCGATTTTCACTTCCTCGGGAATTGGCGTTTCCTCCGCGTCATCGCGGCACAACTTATTGACGATCATTTCGAAGCCCTGATTCCGGACGTAGAATTGTCGCGGATTTATCACACAGGTAACATCGACCTTCCGACTGTATTTGATAAACGTTGCTTTATCTGGGTCAATGGGATCGGACACTGCCTGCTGGCGGAAGCTGTTTGAACGTTGGGATTTCAACTCACTCTTCGGCGCATGACGGTTGCCATCTCGGTTTAACTGAGACCGGTCAATGATTTCCACATTCGGACTGGCGGGCTTATCCTGTGTAAGTAGAACGTTATTGAATGAAATATTTGTTGTTACCCACAATTAAAAACTGACCTTCACGGAAACAGTGGATCGCGACGGAGCATGGTAAAAGCGGCTATTCTTGCATCTGGAGTCTTTGGTTCGAAGACTTTCAGTCGTTTTTCCTGAACCCACGGGAAGGTGGACAGCGTTTTCCGGGTTTGCGGAAGGTGGTCTCATTTCTGCGTCCTTCACGGTACGGCTGGAGGAAGCAGTAAAATGTTTCGCATTTTTCCCGTCGATTTTCTTGCTCTTAGGTGGGGGGATGAATTCCGCCGGATGAAGCTCTTCTTTCACACTGCTGGGTGCCGTTTTCGATATCTTTTTCATGTTTTTGATCAGATTCGGAGCTGCTCAAGAGAATAAAATTATGTACCGTCAAATTCCGCTAGGAGGGGAAAAGTTCCTTTAACACGGTATCGAACTCCTAGTTGGAACTTTAGCAAAAACTCACCGTAATCAGAAAGTTCTACGCTATACGATTTCTATTTTCTGTGTGATCACTTTTTGTATTCCGTATGAATCAAAAATATACAAAAAGCGAAACCACATAATTTAATTTTGCATAGTTCGAAAAAAAAATAGTCTCACTATCGGTTACAGAGGCTCTGCTGAATGTTTGTCCAGAAACGGGTTGGTTTTGGTTCAGTATTGAAAGCAAAATAAAGAGACAAACTTGATCGGGATTAAAAAATACGATACTATACAGTCTGCTACCGCGGAAAAAGCGATCGAAAAATCACCGATGTGTAAAAGCAATGACATTTCAAGCTCAACATTGCATTATGTCCTAAGTAACATTCATCGATTCTCTACGATTGACTACCAACCATAACCATTACCATTACAGTTCGATGAACATTTCGACAGTGAGCATTCATAAGGGCGTATACGCGATAATCGATTCTCTTCATCGAATATCTCTTTGCATTGCTACAGCTAAGCGAAACAATTTTCTAGAATTTGTTCAATGCAGAGTTGCAACAGGTTGTATTAGCTATCAAAAGCAATAGCAAACGTACCGAGAAACGTTAAATCTAGAGAGTTATTAACAAAAGAGAAAATCGATGAAGAGAATCGATCATCGCGTATAGGCCCTTATGCATGCTCACTGTCGATTTTACCTACACCGAAAATAGTTTTCATGTAGCTTCCATTGGAATCGCAAATGATTTTCATTCATAAACAAAATTAATGGAATTCATCTGAATTCACATAACATTTATGCGATCATGTTAATTTTATATGATTTTTCATATTAATTTCATTGGCCTCATAATATTCATGTGATTTGTGGTGAGATTTTCAGCTATGTGATCACATGAAAGCTATGTGAAATTCACATGGTTTTCATCCATTAGATATGTGATAAATTTTTTGAGTGTATTAAAGCCTGGTACGCAGCTGAAAAGTAATGACGTTTTTACGTGCTACGGGAGCCTGGTACGCAGCTGAAAAGTAATGACGTTTTTACGTGCTACGGGATAGGACACGGAATGCTAAAGAAATTTCTTTTAATTAGCATTTCTTGACCCAGTACGCAGTTCAAAAGAAATCGGTAAAGGAAAGATCGATTACATTAGTATCGTGATCGACATGAAGGTGGCGCATTCTGAATGCAATTTCACTTTCCTTGCGGAATAATGGTCTGATCAATTATTCCGTTAGGTAATGTTGGCGTTTATTGCAAAACTGATGTTTTGGATGCATTTAAACAACATAAACACTAATAAGTGTTGATTTTACAATTTGACGACATTTCCCTATAATCTCAAAATTTAGCAGCCTATAGCTGTCAAATTTTCTTTTGGGAAAAATCCTCAAAAATTACTTTCCCGTTTTCTTTTCAGCTGCGTACCAGGCTATAGCACACGGAATGCTAAAGAAATTTCTTTTAATTAGCATTTCTTGACCCAGTACGCAGTTCAAAAGAAATCGGTAAAGGAAAGATCGATTACATTAGTATCGTGATCGATATGAAGGTGGCGCATTCTGAATGCAATTTCATTTTCCTTGCGGAATAATGGTCTGACCAATTATTCCGTTAGGTAATTTTAACGTTTGTTGTAAAAATGATGTTTTGGATGCATTTTAACAACATAAAAATTGATAATTGTTGATTTTAAAATTAGACGACCCCTACCTATGATCTCAAAATTTAGCAAAAGACACCTACCTATAGCTGTCAAATTTACTTTTGGGAATATTCCTCAAAAATTACTTTTCCGTTTTCTTTTCAGCTGCGTACCAGGCTTAATGAGTAAAATGTAACCCATTTATGAGTAATTACTACTCAAAAATGAGTAGTAAGTATTGAGTACACACTTAGTTTTTTCTACCGAGCTTGGCTGTGCAAATCTCGGCAAAAAAAGTTTTACTGAGATCTCAGCAAACATTTCATTTGTTTGCTGAGATTCAGCTAAGTACTATCCGAGACTCGGTAATCAAATGTCACTTCTGCTGAGATCTCAGTGAAACTTATTATTGCCGAGATTTGCTCAGCCGAGCTCGGTAGAAAAAACTAAGTGTGTAACAAATACTCATGAATGGGTAATTTTTTTACTCGAGTTTTTACTTTACAGGGGAAAACGAGATGACAAAACGAAATCTCATTCTATTAGGGTAGGTGTTCCAGTAATAGTGGTGTACCTATAGTTGCGGTATAGAGCTTTTTGACGTTTAATCAGCGCACACTACTGCACCATTTAAATTGAACGAGTGCGAGCAAGAGGGAAACAGATTAGTGGGAAAATAAACCGTTCATTCATTCATGTGTGCTAGATAGAGAAAGATTATTAAACGTCAAAAAGGTCTATGGAGGTTGTGGCAGAATAGTGAGGAGGATCCGGATAAGAATATTTTTCATCGGTAGCTCTCCTAAAATAAAGCATATTTGCATATTTCAAACTTAAAATATGGCCAAAAGTGACGGAAAATAATTAATTTTCCTTAAGATTTTCACTCCTTTGCACCTATAGTTGTGGAACCCATAAGAAACCAACGCATTCCACTATTAGAGCAACCGTAACGGTCGTTGTCATTTGCGCGACTATTTTAACAGCGCACAGCGCTCTCATTTTGGTTTAGTCACTCTTCTCCACACCGGTCGCTGCTATCGTGGTTATCAATTTACTCACCTTTGTCCGTACCGGTAGTGAGCATTTTGACGAATAGCAACCATTCTCCCGCGCTGCTATCGCGCTGCCAAATTTGGTAACGCGCTTCTCACCGAGAAGCCGACTGCTATTTTAGTTACTCGTATGGCAACCCCCGATACGGTAGCTGCGCTATGATGAGGGCTGCTAAAATGAGTTTAGCAGCGTGCCGTTACGGTTGCTCTTATGGGAACCAAAGTTTGCAACTACCACAACTACTGGAACAGTTTTCCTATTAATTCGAGGACGATCTTTCTAAAATTTGATGCAATTTTATTACAATGTAATATTTTTCTATTAAAATAGAGGTTGAAAGCTATAGATTGACGTATTACAATTGTGTGTACATCGTTTATTTAATTGATAAATTGGCTTAGTATCTCCACTACTGGCTCACCCACCCTATTGTTCGGAGTCGACAAATTTATCGAGCAAATAAATTTGCTTTACATCATATACATCTCTCAATAAACCAGCTGAATCCTAATTTTTCCTAAAATCTTCAGGTTATTAGAGATCTGAAAAAAAAAAATTGGATATTTTTTCAATACTTCTGGTTCATCAATTATTCTGAAGATCTTCTACTGTCCAATAATTCAAATCCCGTATCTCATATATCCTCTTATGATACCATGTTGCTCAGAAATTATTCCAAAGACCACCATTAAATCCTCAGGATATTTGTCCATGCCTTCATGTTAAATATGTACTATTCTGAAGGTATACAGCAATTGAAATTGCGTCTCTCGACATTCTCTTATGATACCACGTGACTTATACCCCGTTCACATTACAGCGTATATCACGTGATATACGCTGTCTTGCAATGAGCATTCATACATCTAGTTTTCACTGGAAATCCTATGTATGAGTGCTCATTGCAAGACAGCCTATATTACGTGATATAGGCTGTAATGTGAACGGGGTATTAGAAATTATACCAAAGAATTTCAGATTATCAGATCTGACCAGATCAGCTCTCCAAAAAATTCTTTGGGTATTTTTTTTCAATACCTCTGGATAATCAACTATTATTCTGAAGATCTGTAACTGTTCAACATTCAGCTAACGTCTCTAAGAGATTCTGTCATGATACCAGGTGTCTCAGAAATTATACCAAAGGCTGCAGGATGATCACATACCGAAAATTTTCTAGGTTTCTCAGATATTATTGCAAAGCGTTGAATAGCTCATAGGTGTCCAATAACTTTTCATTATATTTTTTCCAATATTTCAGGATAATTAAGTTTTATTCTAAAGATATTCAACTGTCCAACAATTCAAATACCGTCTCTCATAGATTCTCTCGTGATATCAGCTGTCTCAGAAATAATTGCAAATACGTTCAGGTGCTCATAGGTCTGCAAATACATCTCTGGATATTTTTTCCAAGATACCCTGGTTCAGTAACCACCCTGCATATTTAGACAGCAGAATCGTCCGGGACCCTTTCTCGTGGTTTGAATTCGTTACCTGATACTGTATTACCAACAATCAATACGAAACTAACGATTTTAAATTGGCTCACCACTTTAGTAGCCTATTGGTCCCAAGCAAACGATTAACGCATAGAGGTAACTCTAAGACCACTGGGTCCCGAAGAAAATCATTATTATTTTTGGCTCACTCAGTACCAGAACAACGGTCCCAAGCAGTCCCAAGCTATTTCACTCACCCCTGCATGTTCTGCATGAATCCACACACCCCTGATGTTATCTGTCAAACTTTCATAGCGAATCAAAACAAACATAGTGTAGTAATAGAATTTCAACTAGAATAGGGTACGTTAATCGTTTGCTTGGGACCAATAGGCTACTAAAGTGGTGAGCCAATTTAAAATCGTTAGTTTCGTATTGATTGTTGATTAACGTACCCTATTCTAGTTGAAATTCTATTACTACATTATGTTTGTTTTGATTCGCTATGAAAGTTTGACAGATAACATCAGGGGTGTGTGGATTCATGCAGAACATGCAGGGGTGAGTGAAATAGCTTGGGACTGCTTGGGACCGTTGTTCTGGTACTGAGTGAGCCAAAAATAATAATGATTTTCTTCGGGACCCAGTGGTCTTAGAGTTACCTCTATGGTATTACCACAAACGAAGTGACAGACGACTTACTGGCGAAGAAATCCATTAAAATAATGTGGTTCACTGTAATAGAATTTTCTTGGAAGCTTGTGCCATCATCCACCAGATGGGTTAGTTTTTTTGTTTTGATTTGAACAAAGTTGATTTTGTGTACAATGATTATTTGACAGTGTGCAAAGAGTGCGTAATTTTGGGTAGTTTTTCATCTCCGTGTACGATTGACTACTATAACTATTTTCTTTAAAGTTATCAAAAATCATAAATAAAAAGGTTTTAATTTAATTCCTTTTCCGAAGATTGATTCTCAACAACCCATTATGTTTAAAGTCCCCATAAAAAAACGTAATACATAAGGTTAAAACTTTATCATACAAACGTTCATGTAAAGTTCCATAGCCATTTCAGTAAAAGCATAGAGGTAGTAGAGGTAGTAACTCTAAAACCAGAAGGTCTAAAAGATACGTGCTCAACTTTTTTGCTCAGCTCTGGTACAATTTTCAGTCCCAATCTAATCGATGCACCCCTTGAAACATAAGAAAATCCATGAACCCCTCATTTTATCTGTCAAACTTTCATAGCGAATCAAAACAAACATAGTGTAGTACTAGAACCTTGATTAGTATGGGATACGTTAATCGTTTGCTTGGGACCAATAGGCTAGTCAAGTAGTGAGCCAATTTAAAATGGTTAGTTTCGAATTGATTGTCGGTAAAAGTTTAGCAGGGATTATAAATAATTATTATCGGTAAGGTCAAATCATGGTTCGCGTTTATGCGGGATTAGTGTTCGATTGATTATTATACCACAGACAGACATACAAATTAGTACCGTTGTACTCCTTTAATCAAGTACCTCAAAACGTACAATTTGTGGTACTAGCTTAAAGCAGTACAACGGTAGTACAACAGTGAACTTTGTATGTCTGTACAAGGTATTAGGTGGTTGTACGTAATATTTGAATGGTCTGAATACACTTTTAATAACATTTTGAGTTGATCTGATCGTCCGTGCACAAGCATGATTTCGTTTTCCGTTTCGTTCCTTATTGAGCGAAGCTGTCAAATTGGGGGAGTCTTTCGTCAAAGGAGTGACGTGCACTTTGGTTACTTTTTGTGAAATTCTGAAAAACGGGAAAAACATTGGCACAAAGGTAGTGAAGGATTTCGTCTAATTCTTATACATTTCCCGGAGCTTGGCCCGACCAATCTGCTATGCAATCGGACCAGCAGTAGAATCTCCTCACAATGGTGTATATTGCTAGAGGTAAGAAAATTCTGAAGAGTGAAAATCCCATTAGGTATAGGTATTCATTTTTCCTGTTATTTTCCTCCCATCCACAGACGGAAGGGTCCATGAATCCCAACCATGGAGCGTCGAACGTTTCAAGGGAATGATCGCCGGGTTCTTCGCTTTCTTCGTCATGTTGTAAGTGTTGCTTCGAGAATAATCTTCCCTCGCAAGTGACCTTGACTCATTCAATTTCCTCTTGCAGCTTTAGGACACTGTTCGATTTGAATTCCAATAGTTCCTCTGGCTCGTCGGACACCAGTAGCGTTCGACGTGGTGGAGGCGGCGGCGGTGGTGGCCCTCCTCCACCGGGAGGACCACGGCAACGGCCGATCGGCCGAATGATGACCCTCAGGGATTGCACCATCCCCGGGGGCGGATGAGCGCGGTAAAGCGTCCGGCTGGGAATTGCTCTGCTCTTCCTGGTGGACGCTGCTGTCTCCGAATGTTGTCGTTAGGGAATCTGAAAGATGTTGCACTCTTTCGTATGACGAGTAAGTCCTAAACCTACGCTAAACCACGGGCGGACTTATTTCGAAGAGGATTCTCGATTGATGACTTGCGTCGAAATGTATGAAGCTGATATTTCCAACTTTGTTTTGAGAGCTCAAAGTGAAGATGAAAATGTCAGATTTTGTATTGTTTGTGTTTATTGGTAACATAGTCTAATTTCTGTATAATTTCTTGTGTAAAATAACTGTTTGAATAAATGGTGGGTAGGAGTAAATATGCATTTTATTTTAACATAAAACAAAATATGTATGAACAACAAAATAGTTAATTTTCGTAATAAGGCACTGATCTTATGAACTGGTTTTCTTCTACGCTGCATAAGCTCTCGTAAAACGGATTGGGTCCATTGTGGCAACTGGCCGCTGCTGGACCCCTCCTGTACACTGGCTGACCGAAGATGCTCGTTATTGAGTAGTTGCAAGCGAACAGCACAACCTTGAACGTGAAGCCGGAAACCTTCTTCGGGTAGATGACGATTCCGCATCCGATCTTGGTGGTCCGGTCGCTCACCATCTGCGTAAAATGACCGATAGTGGCGCTGAAATAACAAACACCGAACTTGTATACAAGTTCCAACATAGTATGTGAAAACGACTCACTTCGGTAGATTATCGTACTCATCCATCACTTGCTGAGTGGCATCCCTGTACTCGTTGAACCACAGGTTGGTCAACTTATCCAGGATGTTAAAAATATCCTCCCTCACTGGGTAGTAACCAATTGCTAAGTTCTGACCAGCTTGGCGATACAAATCTGTATTTCTGCACTCGTCATGCTTGAACTGACAACTCTTAACGTTCAATTCGGCCAATTCAGCAAGCTCGTCATTCCATTCCTACGGAAGAAAAAAAGTGTAAATTTCCCACCCTTCCAATTACCAAGAGAACCATCTCACCACAGTAGGCATCCTCAGTGCACTCTCGAACCCACTGACAGATCCATTGGCCAGTCGATTCCTCGCTTCATTGTGCAAATGAATGATAAACGCTCTGATCTGAGGATCGATCTTGAACAGGGTCCTCCCGGCCGGACAATCCTCCGCAAATGATCCATCGCGACCGCAGGCCACGTGCTTCTTCGCCACCAACTGTCCGGTGAAGTCGTACTGCAAGCACAAATCTTCCTGGCAATAGAAATCGTTCCCCACTGGCGCTTCGGTTGTCAGACTCAACTCCTCGAGTTTCTCCTCAGCATCTTCTTCGGTGCTCGCAATAGCAGTAACAGTAACGATATCCTCTTCCAACGGCTCCGTCAATGTGATACCCTGCGAGGTACTCTCCACCGTAAAATCCCCACCATCATAGTCGCCGCCGTCGTACTCGTACAGCACATCAACAAGATCAAAGGAGGCCCCGTGGGTTTGCCTCTGAAGCGCAATCGCAGCAACCAACAACAAACTCCATAACAACGACCACGACACCGGTGATGACCGCTGGCTAATTAGGCGTCGATAATTGGCAGTATCTAAAAAAAAACAGCAGAATACATGGAGCTTATTATCGTAGCAAAAAAAAAGTTTTCAACAAAATACACGATCACAAGGAGTCTCTTCTTATCTCTGAACGCTTCAAACGATCAAGAAGACCCCCAAGACAATAGCAAGGAAGCATTTTAAGACAGCATAGAATGAGAAGCATGTGATAGATCGATTCGTTTCCCGCATGGCGTGCGACCGAGCGCGCGGTTGTGATGAATTGAAAAGCATCATGGTTTGAATTCCTGACAATTCCCACCCCATGCATGCTTCACCTTGCGCCTTCCGTAAATCATATACAGGTGATGAACGCGTCATTTCAAACAAACCACGGCACTCTTCCTTTTCCCCGCACCAGAACGATCATCATCTCCCTTGAAGTACCTACGCTAATTATTGATTTTATGGCACTGCTGCTATATCCGACGGTTGGGTAGGTTGCCTCGAGGGTTGCCTATACACGAATTCCATTTATTTGTTTTCATCTTCTCTGCGGGACGATCGTTCGTCTCTGAGTTCAAACTTTGCTTAATACCTCTAGATTCTCACGAAAGCGCGATTAGTTTATTGGTTTTCTTGCTTCATAAGAGATGCAGAGGAAACATCTTTATAGCAGGCTGTTGTTATATAATTGTCTGTCGGGTTAGGTTCTAATTAATTGCCTCCTTTTTACGATGTCGGCTACTAGGATCAAAACAATTTATTGAGTTACGTAAGATTGGTTGCAGTTCTTACTTAAAGAATGACTGAAGCAGTGACTGATCGATGAGATCAAAGTAAGCCATTGAAAAAAAAACGAATTGTACAACAATCGTCAGCAAAAGCAATCGATCGATTGGATCAAATTAACAACATGCAATGAGTTTTTATTCAGATGTCAATCAACATTTAAAATTAAAGAGCAATCTGCATTCTCAGGTCTGCATCATACTCCACGTGCCATAGTGTCCACGTGTCAAAGATGCTTCAAGCTTCAAACAACGTTGATTTCAAAGATTTTGAAAAATGTAACTTATTTACGCTTAAATCTTTAAAGAGTTATACATTGTTATTAAGAGTCCTAGCCCCAGCACATCAAATTGACGAAAGCGGAGCCTTCTTGACGCCCGGAAAATATTGTGTCTGACCATTACCTTCTAATCGGTGAGATCCATGTACGCATTGTACGGACTTTGCGTCGAGAGGAGAGACTCGGGTGGCGATTCAAGAGTAAACTAACGCAGAATAGAAAATTCAGCAGATATTTTCACTTTTTAAAGGAGGAAGAATAATGGACGGTTGCAGCGCCGGTGGTGTAGTGCAGCAGGCCTGGGTTCAATCCCAGTCGGCACCACCGGGACGTTCTGAGGCATAAAATCTCTGATCACGCCTTCCTTCGGAAGGGAAGTAAAGCCGTTGGTCGCCGGTTCATGAGTTGATGGGTCGATAGCACATATCGATAGGCAGGGTCCAGGTGTGGGAGCTGCCTCCCTGGCATCGGTAGCATTGGTGCTCAGCACGGAAAACAAGATCGACGGAAATCCAATCAAGGCAAAAAATGGACGGTTATCAAAAATGCCTTTGCTTTGGCAAAGTGAGAACAATTTGCACGGACAGAAAATTGTTTGCATTGAACCAACAATTCCAGTTGAAATTTTGAACAAACAATTCCACTTGAAATTATATTGCATTTAATTGTTTCGATAATACTTATTCAAATAAATTCAAAATAAGATTATTTTTGTTTTAATAAGTCACTTTTGAACTGCAACAATTGGATGTGCTGCCAAATCGGCCTACTGAATATCCATCAATGAGATGTAAATATGTAAGGCTCAGTGAATTTCTCATCTCTTTCGTTCTCCCGCTGTTTAAACGGTTGAAGCAGTGTGACGTCAAACTCCGTCATCCATTTAATCAGCCAGAGAATTAAAGAGACGATAAATTTACTGGGCCTCGCCTGTTTACGCTCATTGATTTTCCATTTGTGAATTTGGTTCTTCTTCTTCTTTTCCTTTATTTAACGTCGGTCTCTGTTCCGCAATCTAGTGCCAATCACCGACGGACATCGATTGCCATCCATTGACGGCAACAGAATGTGCAGGAAGGCAGCTCTCACACCTGCGTAGGATACGCACCCATTCACAACACACATGGGCCGGGACCAATGGCTTTACTTCCCTTCCGAAGGAAGTGAATTTGGTTCCAAACATAAACAAACCATCGTTGCTTACGGCTTTGCTGTCGTTTGGAACCAGTTATTACTGCTTTCTCACACCCCAAATGGTCTGGGTTCAATCCCAGATTCTAAGATCGCTAAACTAAGGACCGCTGCTAGGCAGCCAAAAGTGAAGTAGGTGTAACCGGTCAGCACAATCCGTGCTTTGTAGCAGAACCGCCGCCATACCGTCGTCGAAGGGCCCCACCGAACAGCAACAGTGTGGAGGACAAGATAAGTAGCTATTAGACGTCTAAAATTGCATTTTCTTTTTGTTGTTTTGTTTCACCCAAATCCGAACAACTTTCGGGCCAGCTATATAGGCTGGCAGGTAAGCCGTAACTTATATACGCAGGTGTGGAAGCTGCCTTCCTGCACATTCGTTTGCCGTCAATGGATGGCAATCGATGTCCGTCGGTGATTGGCACTAGTTTGTGGAACAGAGACCGACGTTAAAGGAATGAAGAAGAAGAAGAAGAAGAAGAAGGAACCAGTTAGGCGACGATTGTTCGTATTTGACAGTCACCTCTCCCCAGGCACAATCAGAGAAAAGAGTGGATCATGGATGAAAGCTGGTGGAAGATGCCCAACTAACAATTTTAGCTGCATATTCTAGTGCATATTAGTTTATACAGCAAAAAATTTACCTTTTACAGCTCATTTTTGCCTGTATAAGCTAGTCTGCAGCTAAAATTGTTTGTTTGGAGGCTAGCTTAGGTTAGCTTTATGAATAAAGGTATTAGTACACGAGACAAATATTTGTCTTAATTTGACAGATACATTAAATGCACAGATAACAGACATGGAGGCTCGAACAAAATTTCTTTAAAAACTTGTGTAAAGATTCCTATTCGACTTAAGCGCCACTAACGGCGACTTCCCCACTTAAAAACCCTCTTTGACAACATGATGGCGCTGGCGTTGCACAAATTACACTAGACACTAAGTGCTAGTAGCGCCAAGTGGCAATTTTCAACAGAAAATTTATCGATACTAGCGCCAAATTGGTCGAAAGTGGAAAATTTATAGAGAAAATCAGGAGATGCTAACACCACGTAACGGCGACGTTCCCACTTATTTTACACAAGTTTCTGACCGAGCTTGAACGTCTGTTCTCTGTGTTAAATGTATCTGTCAAATCAAGACAAATATTTGTCTCGTGTACTAATACCTTAAGACTATCAGCCGTGGGCTAGTTTGTTGCATCTTTCGTAAGATAATTGAAGAATCAAAGTGACGATTGACTCTCAGATGGCGAGTAAATGCAATTGGCGAATCAAAGCAAAGCCAAAACTAGTTATGCGACACCTTGTTTTTGATCCACAATTGGGTTGTTTAACTTCGAAAATATACAGATTTTTATACATCACCTGATAGAGCTTCGTTTTCTGAGCACAACGATATTTTTATCGATCCCGTAGACATTCACCTCGATTTTTAAATCAAGATTTAATTTTTTGGTCGTTGACACTAAATCTATTCGTTGACAGTTCGCTCCCATATAAAGTCCCACCAAGGGGCGCTAAGATGGTGATTTTTGCTAATGTAATCGCTCTTATTTAAAATAGTGCCAGTGGTTCAAAATTGTTGAAATTTTGTAGTTCGGTTCGATTTTTAATGCAGATAACGAATATGTATTAACGTCAATACCCCTAAACAACCTAATTACAAAAATGATGATGTTCTAAAAAAAGTTAATGCAATTTGACAGATATCAGAACCCACCACGGCATGCTTTTGGCGCTACTGTATATGGGCAATCATATATAAAATACTGTGGAAGCCACCGAGGGGGGGCGACACATCTAAATCTCAAGTCTAGATGCTCAACAAATCTCACACTAGCGAATCAATCTTCAATCATTTCTCGCATCTACTTGCATCGCGCATAATCGCCATCAATCTTCTTTCTATCTACTCAGCGTGCGCGCAGCTAGCCACAGCAAAACACAATCTTTTCTGCCTCGTAGATAGAGTCGTCCCCCTCGGTAGCCACAGCAAATTTCTGTCAAAACCTCAGCATTTTCATTGATCCATTGTTGCCCATTTGTCAACTTGTCACTACTAACACAGTTTACCCATTTTTGCGTAGGTTCAGTTTTGACCGATCTGAGTGGATTCTACCCAAATTTGGGTAGTTTTTAAATAGCGTGCAGATCATTATTCTGCAAGGAAAGTGAAATTTAAATCAGAATACGCCACCTTCGTATCGATCACGATACTAATGTAATCAATCTTAACAACTGTTATACCCCGGACAGACTATGGCTTATCCAGCATTTTACGATCGCTTATGGCCGCCACAATCTGGCTGAGTTTCTGGTAGGGAACATAAGATTTGAAGTTTGGCTTGTGAAAGGTTTGAACGTTTACCAGTCAAACGTCAAATCATATGTTCCTTACCAAAAACTCAGCCAGATTATGGCGGCCATAAGCGCTCGTAAAATGCTGGATATCATGTAATATAGGCTGTCTTGCAATGAGCACTCATACATAGGATTTCCAGTGAAAACTAGATGTACGAGTGCTCATTGCAAGACAGTCTATATTACATTATATAAGCCATAGTATGTACGGGGTATTACTTATTTGTGGGTCACAACTACTAATTAACACCACAGAGAACAGACATGGAGACTCGGACAAAATTTCTCTTAAAACTTGTGTAAAGATTCCTATTTGACTTAAGCGCCACTAACGGCGACTTCCCCACTTAAAAACCGTCTTTGACAACATGATGGCACGGGCGTTGCAAAACTTACACTAGACGCTAAGTGTTGGTAGCGCCAAGTGGCAATTTTCAACAGATAATTTATCGATACTAGCGCCAAATTGATCGAAAGGGGGGAGGTAGCTCATCGATTCTTCCGGTTCGCCTCCTAGCATCGTGCTATAAGGTACCAGGCGATAACCAGGGTAGTTGATCGATAGCTCGATGACGTCATTTCGTTGGCGTCTGCTATGGGAAATTCTCATAGCAGGCGTTGACGATGGGACGTTGTCGAGTTGTTGAATAGCAACTATCGTGGTAACTCACCGATTACCTGTCGATCTGCCAAATTTGGAAAGACGTCTGCATTGAATTGTCACATATAATAATATTCCGCCCACTATATCACACGAAATTGCGAGTAGTTGAGTGGAATGGAGATAAGTTAAGCATTGGGTACAGGACCAAGTCTCCCCTGGGTGGTGCCAGAAGATGAGCGCAATAGAATCATCAAGTTGCCATAAGGCACGGAATGAGACTATTGCATGGCTGGGTAGTCAAAGTCTTCCATTCGTTAGTCATTTCAGGTGGATTAGAACAGGTTTAGGTTTAGGGTGGGCGTTGGCCAGATTTGGATTTTTCAGATATAATCCTAAATAGGACCTAGATTATTTAATACACTAGTAACCTCAACTTCTGTCACAATGTTTCATTGTGACTAATCAACACTCAATGGGTAAAATATCAAATTTGCGGTAAATTTGAAAAAAAGGGAACTTGGAGTGTAGAGTGCACTGCCCACTGGACGATTCTGAAGCCTGACCAAGTGAGTGGGTTACGGGTTTATTTGATTGTACGTCATTTCCAAGTTATATATAGATACATTCATACCATTGGCATTTTGTATTTGAGATAAGACAGACAGGATGCGGAGGGCCCGCTTAGGGGGAGCGTAACCCATGTTATGGCTTCCATTTATTAAATAGTTCAGATAGGCTGGAAATGATAGGTTCATGGTGAGAAAATGTACCATATGGTGCCCGTTCACTGATCAAAATTAGATTCAAATCGTCAGGCCCTGCCCTGGAATAAGGGAATTGACGATGATGTGTCAAGTTTCATTTTGCATTTGCATATAATTGTAAGTTTAGGTTTGCTTTTGTAATTGTAAGATAGATAGTTTGCCTCAATTGAAACATTGAGTTAAACATGACGAATCATACCTCTAAAATAGTAGTAGTTACAGTGCCGCATTATCTAACTTTTGTTTTGTTTGTTTACTTATAACTAATACTAATACCTCCTTGTTTTCTCTCTAATTTGTCTGCTATGTCCCACCATCACGATGAGAGATGAGCTACCGTACATGGTACACGCTCATATACATTCCCAAAATAGTATGCCGCAAGTAAGTATATCACAGAGGCAACTAAAGATCCAGAAACAAAAACCGAAAACGCTGAACGGCAGATTGGTTTACAGTGGTCGACCAGGGTGTGTGCGGATAAATTACAAAATTACAATTAGGGTAGATGTACCAGTTATGGCTGTGCGTTCCTGTTGTGGTGTGTTCCAGTCATGGCCTATAGAAATCCTATATGCCATGATTGGAGCACATCGTAATGGGAGCGTATAGCCATGACTGGTACATCTACCCTACATCATTATTCCATACATCAGCTTGAATTACGTTGATCGATATTACATTTTTTTTTTGCTGTGCACTACACCACCGGAGCCAGCAAAGTTCAACAATCCATCGTTGCTTATGCCTTTGTTGTCGTTTGGAACTAGTTTTGCGAAGTAGGTTACGATTGTGGGTATCTCTCGCGTAAATTTTGAAAAGGGCCTAGCCTGAACAATACGTAAAGAGCGAATTGAAACATTGTACGTCGCGTGAATGTGGAACTTAATGAAGGCCTAAGTACTTTTTCGTAGTTTTTAGTTTTCGGATTTGAAAGATCGTCGGTTACAGTGGCCTGCTTACTGAGCAGAAAAACGCGGTCCCAGGTCCTTACATATCAAAGAGATTTATAGTAAAATCGCTTGTGTATCGTGTATTTTGCGAAACTCGTTGTTGTCGTTGGTTCCGGGTTTGAATGGATACAAAAATTTGAGCAACGGTATTATGTGATATGAGGGGCTCGGTGGCCTTAGAGCAACCGTTTTTGCTTACTGAGCAGAACATCATGAGTCTAATCTCAGGCCCATCCACAATCAAGATTCGTCAATCGTTTTATTTGTTAATATGACTACATGGTAATAACAGCAACTCGGTGATTAAAAAGGTGCTCGTCTGCCTAGTGGCAAACGTTTTTGCTTACTGAGCAGAAGACCGTGGGTTTAGTCCCAAGCTCCTTCGCGTTATATGATCGTTAGGACATTAATTCAGCTTATCGTTTACCAAACCCAACCCTCTTATCCAACATCCCAGTGATTCCTCGTGGAAGTGCAGAGGTGTTCTCGGCTTCCATCAAAGCGAGTGTCATGTCAACACAATCCTTCCCATTCCTTTCTTGACCTGTGTTCGGGCGCGGCCGGCGCTGGTATTGCCTAATTCAAGATCACCAGTTTTTACACATTAAGGATGATTGCTAGTCCCAAGCATCGTATATTGGTTCTCTGTGTAATTACAGCTGATCTGGCAATAACAGAGTAGCAACCGTGGGCGGTCAATCAAGCTCAAGCTCAAGCTCAAGCTCACTAGCGCCAAATTGATCGAAAGTGCAAAATTTATTGCGGAAATCAGGAGATGCTAGCGCTACGTAACGGCGACGTTTCCACTTAACTTTACACAAGTTTCTGACCGAGCTTGGACGTCTGTTCTCTGTGTTAAAACAGAGAACAGACGTCCAAATTCGGTCAGAAATTTGTGTAAAGATAAGTGGGAACGTCGCCGTTACGTGACGCTAGCATCTCCAGATTTCATCTATGAATTTTCCACTTTCGACCAATTTGACGCTAGTATCGATAATTTTTTTTGTTGAAAATTGCCACTTGGCACTACCAGCACTTAGTGCCTAGTGTAAATTGTGCAACGCCAGCGCCATCACGTTGTCAAAGAGGGTTTTTAAGTGGGGAAGTCACTGTTAGTGGCGCTAAAGTCGAATAGGAATATTTACACTAGTTTTTAGAGAAATTTTGTTCGAGCCTCAACGTCTGTTCTCTGTGTCATTAATGAGTTTTTTTTACTTAATAAATGATTTAAGACCCATTTCTTAAAAATGGATGAAATTCTTCTCATTAATGCATTGTTTTGTGATTCGAGGTCGGATTAAAATACAAAATAATAAATTGACGCATTTTGTGCAAATGACGAATTATCGTGTATTTTTATTATTCGTCGAATATTTGTGTATTTTATCGAATTTTGTATTTTATTGTATTTTTTTTTTTTGAGTAATGACGAGTAATGATAACCGTTATTTTCGATTAATTACTCGAGAGCAGAGAATTGCCCCTCGGAACAGATGGATTATGTGCACCACAGGTGGCGGTACTACCTATTTATATTTTCCTATGTTTCGAGGGGTGAATCGCTGGGTTTTCCTATGTTTCGAGGGGTGAATCGATTAGCTTGGGACCGAAGAGAGTACCAGAGCTGAGCCAAAAAGTTGAGCACGTTATTTCGGGACCTTCTAGTCTTAGAGTTACCTCTATGGTACTACCAACTAGAGTCGGTGTATAATGAGTCACGCCAAGAGTGAAGCCAAGTCTACCTATTGAACTGTCAAATCGGCTACCTATCGTGCAAAGTAAACAAGCATTACCATGCTATGAAAGGTCCACGAAAGGTATTGCAATTAAATATTAAATATAACCGAAGAAATGATCATATACACGCAGTGAGCATTACATTTGTCATGGGATACGTTTTGTAATGATCAGTAATGACAATTTCTACTATTTTTCCTTAAGATAATTCGACAAAATCGCTGATATAATGGTTTACTACAGCCGTTAATTTTTTTCCTCGCTAGAAGTCATTTGAAGTTGATGCAGAAGTCCTCTGTTGCCAAGTTAAAAGAAAGGGAATCTTTAGAAAACCGTGATGCGAGTTCAACTGTTTTTCTCTTGGCGTGACTCATTATACACCGACTCTACTACCAACTATTTAAATTTACCGTTAAATGCGTGTTCGATAAACAAATTTCCAGGGTTATGTCTGTTTGTCTGTGATCAAACAGTGAAATAATAGTTACTTTGCATTAAATCTTGATTTGAAAATCGAGATCGAAGTAAATGTAAAAATATCATAGTCCTCAGAAAACGAAGCTCTTCCAGATGATGTATTTAAAAACCAATATATTTTACTAAATTAAAGAACCCAGAAGTCCTATACTTAGGGGCGCTAAGATGGTGATTTTTGCTAATGTAATCAAACGTATTTAAAATAGGTCGAGTGCTACAATATTGATGAAATTTTGGTTATCGGTGTCATTTGACATGCAGATTACGAATATGAACAACATAACCTTTATACTCCTAATGAACCCAATTAACAACGGTAACACTAACTCAAATAAATAAAACAGCAAAAAAGGTTATCTTCATTACTTCACTAACTCAAAACTTAATACTAAATTGTATGCCTTATTCAGACTACAGAGTTATAATAATTATAAAAAATCATCAAAATAGGCTTATAACATGCTCATGTAAGAAAATATCACTAATCCAATCTCTCAATAGATCGATATTTAAAAATCACTATCACAATCCAAGGAGTTCATCGAACAATTCACCTACCCATGCTGATTTGAATTGAAAGTATGTTTTTTTCCAACAGGCACTGCTATGCTTTTTTTTTCTTGTATCCCGAACGAACAACACAAAACAAAAATCTTGCACAAAACGTTCAAAAAACAAACTCAGTGCTCCTCCGTGGGAACCTCGTAAAACCACAAACTTTTCGCGACGCTACTGACCGGGACGCACGTCAGCACTCGAATAACCGTCCCGTCCGGTCCAGGCAGCCGCTTTATATGTGATTTATCATAAATTGAGGTAGGACTACATTGTGCTGACTCCTCTCCCCGTTTCCGAATGAGTGATCAGAACATCATCTCCACCTGAGAAAAATCCATCTCCCGCTCTTCCGGGACTCTGCACTTACCTACGTCCCTACCTAACACACGGCACACGTTATTCCACTCAACGACTTTACCACGAAACTTGCGACTCCCGCCGCTGTCGTAGTTTCAGAGGAGCGGTGCCGATATATCGATAACAAATTGTCCACTTTTCAGAGCAAAAAATAAGCGCCAAGTTCTACGCAATAACGTGTAAGTAGCTTATGAGAACCACAAACAAAAAATATGTAAACAGTCCGAGTTCATTGAAAAGCATTTCAACGAAACGACCGATCAATGGTACTTGAAATTGAGACTCTGTACCAACTTCATCTTGAGTGATATGATTTGTGACTATAACTACTGCGAGCGGAACTATTCAAGTTAAACTGTTATTGGATATTTTGAATTTCGAACGCGAGTGTTCTTAAGTGATTTAGGAGATTACAATGGGTATTAGTCGCTAGAACACGAGGTCCATATCTAGTCGCTTCGGCGCGATCTGAATAGAAATGGTGTGTTGACAAAGAGTAAGCATCCACTATCTATTCTAATCACGATCTTCTCGACGTTTTTATGAATCATCAAATTTTTAAATGCACTTGGTTGCAGATTCCGCGTCAGCAAAGATACAATTGAAACTATCACCACCGACGAACCGACATGCCACCGGGGCATATCGTTTGTCCGCAATTCGATTGATCAAATGAGCGATTCGATCTGTCAGTGGAGATGAGATGCAAACCAAGTCAATATAAATTTTACGTGTGTTCGTATCCTTGCTCACGATATGACGCGATCGGATAAGTAGATGGCAGTAGCGTTTAGCGTATTTTAAATATGGCGTCTTGGGCAAGAATTTGAATGAAGCTTCTATGAGCTGGCTATCACTTCGAGAGAAATAGATTAAAATACGTTTACCAATGGATGAGGATGTTTCAGAGCATAATCGAGTGACGAAAAATGAGCGCTGATGGACTTGTTAGGTACCTATTCTTTGAGAGCTCACTCTCGTGTACCTCAGCAATGCCCAGGGTCACAGGGGTGAACTTTTCACCAGCCTCTTTTCGGCTTGAGAGGTGGAGCTCACAACGGTCGGCTCCGGACAATAATGGGGTTACTGACCATTTTTCAGCAATGTTTTCAAATGTTTGCTCCCTATCCACGCACAATTCGCTTACTGTATATGTACCTCGGTAGTCACTATGCAGAAAATCAGCTCATTCGCTCAACACAAGACCAAGCTCAAAACATTTTTGTTAAAATGACTACCTCAAACATATATTTCATAGGGTCTGCAAGGTCCAGAGTAAGGTCTATAGAAAAATGAAAAACTGAAGTATGTAATAGTCTGATTAAAACAGGCGGTTTCCTTCACATCAAACAATCTTTATTCTCCGCAAGGCACGATCATCTCACACTCTGTCTCTCGTGTGTCTGTCCTTTTTTTTCTTCGTTCCCTTCTCTCGTTCGCTCTCTGTCATTACTGATTCAATGTTAATCTACTATCCAAGGTATGTGGATAATGATAGAACAGTAGAACCCTACAAAGTATACAGAAAACGAATTATGGATGGGGAAAAACAATTTGCAAACATTACTGAAAAATGGGACAGCCTACTGATTTTTGTGTATGTGTACTCCCTCTTACCCCCAATGGCCGGCAGTGTTATTATGGAAGAACTCTCTCTACAATGTCGCATTTACGGTCATTTAATTGTAGACAGCTTTAGTCCGGGAGTTAGAAAGTGATAGCTCTATCGCAGATCCAGCACCCTATTTCAGAATGGCCAGAAGAGAAACGCCCATTCCGAGGTTACTTTCACCTACAATAAGCCCCGTATGTATGTTATACCTCTATGATAGGCTCTATCAATTGGATATTAGTATTACACACAAACTTCCAACTTCAAAATGTTCTTTTGGATCCTGACACGTATTTAGTTTGTTTTTTTTTTTTTTAATTGTAGAATGTATTTGAACTGGTCTCACCATGTTCATTTGATCCTCCAATCCATGGGTTCCGTAGTTCCGAACACAATTTTTCTTGCACTGCCATGGTCATCTGGGAGGATGTTAGCGTCTAGTGCTTTTCCCAAGAACTGTTCGCGGCCACCAGGTGTAACCTCGTCCAGTCTTGGGCGTATCCAGCGAGGCATTTTTCAGATTAGTCGCAATCTCCGACACCGGCAAGAGACCAGCAGCCGAACACTTTTGCAAGCGGAAAGCTTGTGCTGATTCACGGCAACGTCTGCCACCGAATCACCACCAAAACTCGCGACGGACACATTATCAGCACTTTTCCGAGTTAATTCACCAACCGGACCGGGTTAAAACTCGTCCACGGTCACGCATTTCTCAATAGAACTACTCGCCGAAAGTGTGGCATCCGAACTCGGAGAACCGCGCTCTCGGGAGTTAATGAAACCAAATAATGGTACTGAAGCTGCAACGTAGATTTTGGAGGTTCTTCAACTTCTTCTTACGTTTATTTAACGTCGGTTTCTGTTCCGCAATCTAGTTTTTTTTAAGCTTTATAAAAAAAAATCTAGTGTCAATCACCGACGGACATCGATTGCCATCCATTGACGGCAATCGAATGTGCAGGAAGGCAGCTTCCACACCTGCGTAGGATATCGCACCCATTCAAACACACATGGGCCGGGACCAACGGCTTTACTTCCCTCTAGGGTAGGGTTACCATTTCAAAAACTTGAAAAGGAGGACATTTCATTTGAGGTTTGGAGATTAAGGAGGATAATTCGACAGTGAGCATGCATAAGGGCCTATACGCGATGATCGATTCTCTTCGTCGATTTTCTCTTTTGTTAATAACTCGCTAGATTTAACGTTTCTCGATGCGTTTGCTGTTGCTTTTGATAGCCAATACAACCTGTTACTACTCTGCATTGAACAAATTCTAGGAAATTGTTTCGCCTAGCTGTAGCAATGCAAAGAGAAAATCGATGAAGAGAATCGATCATCGCGTATTCGCCCTTATGAATGCTCACTGTCGAATTATTCCTTTTCTTAACATGAGGCCAATGAGTTTTATCAAACTTTTCAATAATATGTTCGCTATCACAAAATTCATGATTTGCAAAGGTTCAATTGAGATTGTTCATAACTTGTAGTCGTTATTAATTCAATTCATCTTCTCGTTATACTTCTGAAAAATGCACCAAACTAACCCTCATAATTCATTTTTGATACTTGGAAATGATCTACTCTAGCTTATTTGCATGAAAACTACTGCTTTATAGCCTTAAAACCATCTGAAATTTTATAATGTACAAAAATCAAGATACACGTTATCGCTGATTGAAACCGAAGTGACTGTTTGTAAAATCAGATACGTCGATTTGAATATTTATGCTTGGAATACCTAAAATCTCATAGAACCAGAGCGTCAAAATCGAACACATGTTGGATTCAATCTGTTGTTTTATTTATTTATTTTTTTAATTTTATTTAATTTTTCTAATAAACGGACGTCTGACACTGGACCACAGACAAACAGACGTAACTCTTCATTGTGTATCTTCGTTCACGCATTTAACGGTTGATTTGAATATTATCAGTTCCGCGAACTACTCGCCGCAGCGCTGGCATCGGATCACTTTGACGTTTCTATCCAGCTTTCCATGCTCGGTAATGCCGGCCTGTTTGTATGAATAAATGTATCCTTCACTGTGCTTTTTGACACTAACTGGAGGGCGTATGTTGTTCCATTTTCTTCTGTTCCTGGGAGAGGGAAAGGGAAGGGGTTGAAATTCGAACATCCAGATAGTGTCAAAAAGCACAGTAAAGGATACATTTATTCATACAAACAGGCCGCCATTACCGAGCATGGAAAGCTGGATACATTCTATAGAACTTTTATGCAATATTGTTTGCGAGTTAGCGAGCAAGCTTGTTTTCCGCGAGAAGCCTGAAAGATGTCGCTACTGAGGTCCTATGTTTTGAGATACTATGTTTTCAAGAAAAACTTTTTCAAAGAGTTACGTCTGTTTGTCTGTGACTGGACCATTCCATTGCCCACGCTGTCCGCGCAGTGCAAGTGATTCATATCTTCACGTCCTACAACGGTACCTTGTGTGAGTACCGAGGGCGAGGACCAGATGGGCCGGACCCGGCTAGGTTGTTCGCCTCGATGTTCCCTGGGATCCCGCAGTGTCCGGGAATCCATGTGTAGGTAGTGTTTGGTGGCGCAACCTTCAGGATGCCCTGGATCCAGGGGTGGACCGGGACCTCCGATGAAAGGGCCTGAATAACACTGTGGGAGTCCGACAGGATCAGGATTGGGCGATCCGCAGGAACCGTGACGGCATGAAGAATAGCCTCTACTTCTGCCGAACACAGCGAACATTGTTTTGGCAGACTTCTACTCGTTGAGGAAATGTCACCAGCGATTCCCATTCCGATTCCAGCTCTCGATCTTGACCCGTCCGTGTAACGATGCATGTAGTTTGGGTACAATCCGGTCAGCTCTGCTACCGATCTCCTAAGGGCTACGGAATTGTCCCCGGCTCTGAATCTTTTTCTTTATCCGGCTGCCGATGTTTGGTGCGGGAGATTGCCAACTCTCATCTCCGTACCAGTGAATCCCGTACCGGTGGGTACGGGAGATTGTGCGGATGAAGATGATATTGCTGTGACAGCTGGCCTTGACCCCTTGAAGGTGGTGGTCAAAACTGAGCGACCAATCAATGACAACCCCCAGCAGTTTCACAGTTTTCTTCAATGGGATAGCTTGATTACCGATCTTTATGGAAGGTCCGCAGACCCGATGTCGGTACTGGCAAACGTGGCACCTAGCGCTCTTTTCAGCAGATAGCTGAAAACCTTTCGAAGCGGTCTATCTGGCTACGGCGGAAA